ACTAAAATTTCCAATTTTCTCTTCGATTCCACTTCCAACCTTTCTGTGTTTCTCCTATTTTTGATCGAAATGGGTACCGAAAACGCAGCCACGAAAAGTGACGGATGGAGGCCATGCCTACTCTTTGTTTAAACTGAACTGAACTTGTCAAAGAACCTCGTTCTCGTGGTCTTTCAGGTCGGCGATTTGACCTGGGTGTCATCTGGGTGCTGCCCTACGAAGAATGGTCAAGGACTTGGGTTTTAATAACAGTGGTTCTGTGGGCTCATTTACGCACTTCTGAGGTGTATTTATTACAGTTGGATGCAAATCTGATGAGACACTCGATTGCTCAATTCTTAACCTGGCTTTACATTGCTGGGTAATCGCAATCGAACAATAAACGAAGTGACACCGCTAGATATTTGTCGAATGAAATAGTTGTTTCCATAGGGCCAAATACAGTCAGACATTGTTATAATAATTTTCTTGCTAGTCCTTCCAGCTATCTAGCTCAAACAACAGCTTGCAGGATATGTTTTTGTCTCGCTAATATACACTTTCATTTATCGGAGCTACAGTCATCTATATTATTTCGTTGACCGTGAAGTTCATATCCGAAGTAACATTCACAACTATTTAATTCAAACCCATTCTGCTGTTTTTAGTGATCTATCGTGCTCTTTAGGATGGATCGATGGTCGGGACCAATGCTTCAATTCGTTCGAGAGCTCCGAAATAGAATTCCACCGTTGACAGGTACTAAACACAAGGGAGAAATGGGCCGGATTGCGGTTATTGGTGGTTCGAAAGAGTAAATAGCTTTATCACATGAACATATAACTCATATTCTATAGGTACACTGGAGCCCCTTATTTCGCCGGAATTAGTGCATTACACTGTGTAAGTGTGCTTTTGCATCATTAACCGCTAGGTTTTAGGGTGCTGACCTAGTTCATGTGATTTGTGCAGAAGCAGCGGCACCTGTAATCAAATCCTACAGTCCGGATTTAATAGTACACCCTGACTTGTGAGTCATACTCGTCGATTTGACTCGTCCTACTCGTCAGAGATACCAATTTTTCCGAAAGTCGCAAATGGATTGAGAAGTCACATTCAGCAGTATTTGGCCCGGGACTAGGTCGCGGGGAGAACTGGGAAAATACCGCGAAGGTATGTTTTTGTCACCTCCTCACAAAGGTTCAGTTTTTTCTTTCCTTGTAATGACTAGTTGATCAAGCATTGTTGCTCAACCAACAAACCTGTAGTGATCGATGCAGATGGATTGGCTGTGGTTACAGAGAGACCGGATTTAGTGAAAGACAAGAAAATGGTGATTCTTACCCCGAATGTGGTCGAATTTGGACGTTTATATTCTGTGATGGTGAGTTCACTGGTCTAATCTTCAGATACTTACCATGCACAGTTTGGATCTAATCCCCCGGAGCGGGAAACAGACACACAAGATCTAGCCGAGAGGCTTGGGGGTGTAACAGTTGTGCTGAAGGGTGAGCGCGATACTATCTCAGATGGTTCAACAAGTAAGTTCGTTTAATTGCAAGGTCCTTCGCTAGTTTGCTTTATATTTTCTATCGACCAGGATATTTTTTCGCAAATTTGCATAGGGTTTTATCATATTATGTGGTTTGTGTACTAAAATCCATAAGTTTATGCGTCTGCATAATAACTCCCGTTTTCTACTTCAAACCGTATGAACCAGTGTTCACTGTGTAATATGTCACTGTCCCGTTAACTCACTATAATCTCTCTATCGCTCGCTTAGCTAATGACAAATTGTCATTCGATCGATTGTTGTCATCATGTCACAGGGCATGCATGTCTTTTTTCTCGCCTATGGCCACATTTGTATTTCGATTCATTCACTTGCAGATATTTTCTTATGGAAAAGTTAGAAAACAACAAATGAGATCATAAATTTTTGTAAAATGAAAATTTTGTCACCATTGAAACCACATTTTTGTCACAAGCTCAATAAATTTGAATACCCAACAACTATGAAAGAAATCCAGTCAGCCACACGGCTCACGCTGAAAATTTGAGCACAAGGGACGCATCCTTTTTCTCAATATATATATATATATATCACACATCTAATGTCGGACTGTGTGCCAAGCAAATCGTGGTACAATAATCTTTATGAAAAGGAAAACGCTCCACGATTTACAAGTGGACTGAATACTGCCAGGTTGCCCAGGCCAACGCAGGTGAATTTTATTGGGGAATCCACAGCCGGGACCTACGGCTAGCCAAAGTCTGACTCGCAAGGCAGCGGGGCGGTATGAAAACCGAAATCCATTCAGGGCCGGTGTCCAGTTCATCGGATCACGCCCTTCGGACGGGGTCAAACGTTCAAGGTGCCCAATGCACCTCGATGACCAATCGAGCCGGTGACCACGGCCACAGCCGGGTAGGTGTGGGTGTGGTTCGTACGCCTCCTCCTGGTTGGTTTAGAATCAGGGTTTTTGGCCAACTCCTCTAGGTAAACTGCCAGCGGTTCACCAACCCGATTATAGCCCCAGATGTCGGCTTTTCGTCCTCTCACTTGGGCGGTAACACCTCAGCCACGAGAAGGCAGTGATTAGGACTTCCTCAGCAGAGGCTATTTGAGACGCTTAATTTTATGGGAGCATTTCGCGAGGTGCAAGTGAACGGTGACCAGGCGCAACCCTAGACACCCACCCCCGACCGTACTGAGGCTTTTGGAGGCATATCATTTTCAAGGCGAGCATGTAGGTCAGTTCAGAGTTGCAGTAGCGCAAATCGCACATGCGCAGATGTATACATGATCTTTTACAATGCGGTCAGTCACAGGCATAACTGCTTACGCTATTGGACACACCAAACCAGAACTATGCGTTCCACAGAGAAATTAGAAAATGATTGTGATGTATTGTGTGACCTAGTCGAAAAACGGTTTACTCAACAAGTTCAGCAATAAATCAGCAACACCTCCAAAAGATAGAACCTGTATGATACACATGAAACTGATTTTCGCTTTTGAAGAAATATTTTTCCAGAGCGATGCAGAGCACCAATTGTTACCGAATTAATGACACATGACTTGTTTCGCCCGGTTTTGTTAAAACAACGATCAGCTAATTGCTAATCGCTTAAGTGTGCTTCGAAAAATCTCTTCATTACTGTGAAATTCATTATACCGGTTGTCAGTTGAGTAATATAATTCAAGTATACCACTCAGGTTGGTTGAATGAAATAAACCACGATGACTACCTGAAACTTTCTTCTTTCTTAGTACTGGTCACTGAACATGAGTATGTCATTCCGGGTAACCTTCACAGATCCAGCAAACCTGCCGGGAAAACGAGTCTGGCTGCGTTATACAGAGTAGACGATTGCTATCCAAATCCACTACCCGGAGTGCACAACGTTAAACTATCCTAAACGTACCGTGTTACGTAATGAATCTCAGGTTAAAACGGCACAACGGGATGCAGAAAAGTCTGGTCATATAATCGTCCGGGTCTGAAAATTCCATTCAACGTCCCTCCCCCACACCCCACTGAACAGATAACTTGGCCCCGATTTTGTTACCATGCTTTTGATCCTTAGTAACGTAGAAACTCAAGACCAAATAATGAAAACAGTTCGTTTCTTTATCCTACTTTATCAGTGAGTAATTTTTGCTATTTTTATTTAAGTCACGATTCAGAAGCGTAGTTGAATTCATCCTTGATTTTTACCTACCAGAGTTTTGTACACAATTTTTTTCGTCCTTTTGGTGATGGTAATTGATGAATTTAATTTACTCCATTCCTCTGGTTGTGTGTAAAGCCGTAGTCTGTGACGTTGAGGGTTCACCTCGACGGTGTGGTGGACAGGGCGATATGTTGTCCGGTACTGCAGCCACATTCTTCCATTGGTTTCATCAGTTCCCTTCGTCAACGTAAGTTTTCATATGCCCAGCTCTATTTTTATCTGATTTTCTTCAAATTTGCCTATTTTTAACATTAACTTTGTGTAGATCTTTTAGCACATTACCATCCGTAAACGTTTATACCTATAAGTTAAGTTTTTTTAAACATCGTGTGAAATCGGGCAACAGATATGTCAAGCTTGCGCAACAGTACTCACCGTGTGGTGTGCGGTTAGTGTAAACTCTCACTGCTTACAACACTATTATTCTGCACCCTTCGATGTCATAGGCTGTCTCTTCTCGAATAATTGTAGCGTTCGCACCTTCTTCACCAGTACAGGTGGCTTTGCGGATTGGACAGATTGAACTAAGAAGTGCTAAAACAGCATGAGGAATATGTTATTTTGTAGTTCTTCAGCCCGTTGAATGGTTTGGTCAGTTAGCATTACTCCATCACGAAAGGAAGCTATGTATCACTGATAAAAAGTTAGAACCCATTTGTTGAAAATGTTTAACATTGTGAGCTGATCGGTCATACGAATGATATCACGAAATTCTTCGCTCGTAGTCCTGGTTAATGTATCTGAATGCCCAAGGTAGTGTGCGATATTAATAACTCGCAATCCATTGAGTGCATTTTATTGGATTCCTACGTGTATTGCCACGTTACACTTTTTCTGGACGAGCTTCAAGCGACTCACTGACCCCTTTAAAATCCCTGATATCAATTTTTTACCCTTTCTTTTAGTGAAAAAAACATGTTAATGTAAAGGATGCAATACCCTTAGCTGATGCTTTGAGACATACATTCCGTAGATTTGTGTTGTGTGACAACAGGTTTTAGCACCGCTTATCTGCACCACATGATAAATATTGTAGCAACCCCATTCCTTAGTCATGAAAATCCGATACGCGAAACAATCAGGGTGGCGGACTGTGTACGACGTCATAAGTGATTTTTTGTCGATTGACGCTTTACTAACGAAATTCCGGCAAACGGTAATGAAACAGTTCCAGCATTTCCTTGGAGAAACATTTTGTCGAATTAGTGTTAAGGTAACTGTTTACATTTACCCTGCGAAAATGATCACCTAATCATCTGATACTTCATTTTTCTCCTCACCGTCCCACAGCACTAGCTCTTTGCCAACTCCAATCGCTGCTAGCCTGGCTGCTTGTATGCTGACTCGGCAATGCTCAAGACAGGCATTCGTCAAACACGGACGATCTATGGTGACCGCCCAAATGATTGCAGAGTTGCATCCAGCATTCGAACAGCTATTTGTACTACCACTCCCAAGTGACTGATATGTTGTAAAAACAAAACAGAGTACGAAATTCCTCCATCGTTTTACCTCATCAGCTTCACTCCAACCTGTACTTTCTGTTTCGTACTCTCCGTTGTTTTTGTGGACTTGTTCACTGCCATATTTCGATTTCTCAGTACAAATCAAGTCCGAAAATTAACTGAAATGAAGACTTTCCGTCTACAAAAGTTATAATTAATATTACGACCACCGCATGTTGCTTTTATTCGTTCTGTCATTTAATGTTTCGCATCAGGACGGTTTTCCCTCTGCATGTGCAAATTCATCTCACCTTTCAGTTCTTTTTTTTGGCAAAAACAACCATTGAAACGTTCAAAAACTTTAATCAATATAGTATTCAGATGCTTGATCTACTAATCGTCATGAATAAAGATCAGTTTAGTTCAGTTTGAACAACCATTGAGCATGCACTTTCGTGCGTCGCTTTTGGTTGCTGTCTTTTCGTTGCCCATGTGGATGAACAATAGAAAGAAAAACAGGAAGATTGGAAGTGGAATCGAAGAGAAAATTGGGAAGTTCAGTGGACTAATGGTGCAAAGAAATTAGGAAAATGCACAAACGCCACTGTTTACGACACCGAGCCATATCACTCAGTGTCTCTAACCGTCTGTTACGATCATCCAGGGAGCCTAACGGAACCTGTACGACCCAGACTCCTGGTTAGGGTTTCCATACCCTCATACCAGGTCTTAGCTTGACCACCCTTGGCTTTTATTCACCCAATACCTGCTTCGACGAACATCGCTCGCCGTGGCAACCTATTTGATGACATGTGTAACACATGCCCCAACCAACATCATCTGTGGAGGTCGACCGCGATTGCCTAAAAATCTTCGCCTAACCTCAGCATTGCTCGTCCCACTGCCCCACCAGATTTGTGCAGTGCTGCGTAAACAGTGGTGTTCAAACAACTGCTAAACAGTCTTTTAATAAAATACGGCAGTTCGATTTCACCTTGCTGCGGATGAGGTCAAAACACGCTACACCCTACCTTCAAACTGGAATTTTCCACTGACTTACGCAGATGTTGCGTGATTAATACGTAAAGTATTCGATAGACGGTGAGCATTAGATTATCTTCAATTAAAAAAATAACGTTGAACGAATCCCTGCTTGGAGGGTAAAAAGGGCAGTGCCGCCCATGTCATTCCTTATCAACCTGCAATGTTTGTAGAAGTGCGTGCAGTTGGATTGTGTGCCGTTTTCAGACTATAGATTTATTCCAGTATCTCAAAGTTGGTTCTATGAATATCAAACTCATTTCTAGTTACTTTTTATACTTGATGAGCTGGGCAGCGAAGTAAACCGATGGTATCATCGTGTACAGACTCTCCACACAGCGGCATTCGATAGGGATTAATCGATTTCAGCTCATACCCATTAATCATGCACTTTTGTGCGGCGGTTTTGGTTGTTGAGAGTTGGCTGCTCATTTTGATAAAAGATTAGAGGGAAGATAGTAATGTTGAGAACAGTGTCAAGGTGAATATAGATAAATCAGGATGTAGAGTAGATGCACAAATGTCACCTTTTGCGATACTGATCCATATCACTTACCGTCTTTATCCATTGGGTAGAACGATCTCGAGACTCTTACTCAGGAAACCCCACGCAATATATATGACCGGACCTCCTGGTTCAACCGTGAGTTCTTTCATGCCAAGTATTAGTTTGATCATCCGTAGCACTCTTCTATTCATTACCTGCCTCGAACATCGCATACCATGGTAATCTATTGGCTGACATGCGTAACACATGCACCAAACAGCGCAATCAGTGGAGGCCGACCAAATGCCTAAATGAAGGACCACGATGCAATGAAATCTTGTGTCTAACCTCATTATTGTTTATTCGGTTTTCTACCAGATCATTGCGACGAGACCTAACCTTGACCTGAGTACCTCCATACCATGCGAGTTGCTCAGGATGGCTTTTCACGACTGCAGACACATGCTTGAAAGGTAGATACGGAGAGGCCGAATGAAGCAGTCTCACAAGGCCACCTCCTGGCTTCCTGTTTATTATGCAGTATCACCCCTGGAAGAGATCACTCCAACAAAAAAACCGGGATAAGCAGGTTACCGGTGAAAAACTGCTGCATGAACGAAGGATGCGGGTTCATGGGGTTTCCTTCGAACGACGGGAAAAGTCTTCGCACTTCATTCGACAGCTACCACCCCCACCCCCAATCTGGGCGACCGAGCTAATAAAGTGCTGNGTCCCGTCCAGCTTCCGCTTGTTTCAATGGGTGAATGGAACTAAAGTTCGACCCGGAATAGCGGGCCGTCAACCAACGCACCAGCGAACAACTCTCCGGACCGAAACCCAAAGGTTTTGCGTGGCTGGTACTTAGAAGCTCCCACACGAGTGACCCTGTCATGCTCCCGCCCCACCACCTTGTGGGTCAAGCTTTTGAGTCGAAGGCTCCGGTTAGGGTTCCCAGAGAATAGAATTCTCATCTTTATTTGCTATTGCGAAGTCTGTTTGAAAAATTCCCTTTCCCCTGTATGGATTAATGCTATGGTATCACGTCAGGAGAATGATGTATTGGCGAATCCGACACACCAGACACGCTGCTTACAAAAAAGGAACGAGAAGGCGGTACACACGAAAATCAATATCAGTTTACGCAACCATTTACTTGGATCACAGGTACCGTTCATCAGCAGACCCACTCGAGAGAACCAATATACAACTGTAAAGTTTCGAACATTATTTTACTAGTGACAGAAGTGAGAAGAGTAAGACAAACTCTGGTTACAGGAGAACACATGGATATTAGGCCTCTTCCGTTCCAGTTTCCCCCGGCTCAATACAGAGATTCTATTTTATTTGAGTGGTTCGCCATCCAAGTGGCAGGGCTTAGGTTTCCAGCTCTCAGGATCATTGGCATTACGTTCCAGTAGCTGAGTCTATTTGAAGGGATAAAAATTGTTTTCTTTTAATATTTTGGGCACGGAATACTGTGACATGTTGCATTCCTGGGCAATTTGCCTTGTGGTCGCCTGAAGATTTGGATGTACACATTGCATATACCGCATTCATCCGTCTTTGTCCGTGGATGTCTCTTACGTTCTCGAACGTGTACGCTTCCAGTACATCTAGATTTTTTTATCAGCGTTACTATTCTGAAGGCGGAAGAAAACTATCTGCCATATTTTGCTATACATGCAGCAGGATGGAAAACGTATTGAACAACTTTATGAAATAAATATGCATTTTTCCGTAACGTTTTTGCTCTCCGGAAATCTGGCAGTTTGTGATTGGTGGGGCCTTCAAATTTCGGTCGTGCTACATTTTTGTGCTCCAGTGAACAATTTATCAACCTTTACGTCACACATTGGATTTAATCGTTTGAATCAAGTTTTCTTTCATCACTCATGATCATGTACGCAACAATGTGTTATCGTGCAAGAGTGGCATTCTCTATCAGTTCAGTCGTCAAGTTAAAAATAGATACGAAAGATGCAGACCGTCTAGATCAGGTTTCCTCAGAAAATACCGAGCAGGCTGGCAAGTGGCCTTACATAACACAAAACCTCAGAAAATGTCCATCCCTGCCATGTTTTCATCAAACGTACGATTACTATTTGGCAAAATGAGCGAAACTGATAAGGACGAAAAAATACCATGCAGTGGGGATAGTTGTGTTGCAAGAAACGTGGTTGCATCCTGACATCCTGACTCTGATTGAGCTGGATCTATTTGATATGCATCGTTTGGATAGAGACTACTACGAAATCGAGGCGGGGGTCTAATAATCTACACCAAATCGTCTTGGTGTAAGTCTACAAAGATTATCTTCACTTTTAACGTAGGATATATCTCATGTCTTTCGGTTGAATGTAAACCCCGTTTCCTTAGTAAATATCGTTCCATTGTGACATCAAACATTTACATAGCACCTTCCAGTGCAAATTCTGATGTATAGACGTTTGCTGATGTATTTATACTCGGACTTTCCAACTACACTGAACGCTCTCTTTTTTTTGTTAGTGGCGATTTCAACCATGCATATATTCATTTCTTGGCATGTCTCTCCATAATATTGTAAATTTCTCCACAAGAGGAAACGCGCTGCTTTATCTTATGTTTTCGAACGGTCCTGATCTGTTTACTGTGCGAAGCGGAGCCCCTCTGGCAAACTCCGATCATTGTATTATCATTGTTTTACCAAAAGTCTATTCAAAGAAACATCATAGCACACTGACACGTACATCTAGCCAGAAGATTTTTCACAGGTTGTGTGACCCGGTCCACTTGGCATCACTGAGATAAATGGTCTCTGGTACAAATTTCGATCAGTTCTTTGATCCCAGTGTCTCGATCGAGTGTGAACATCTCACGAGCTATTTGAATTTTTGCTTTGAAATCTGCTGCCGCATATCCCCTATATACATCAGACCCGCCAGATTTTCTTCTCCTACTTTGAAGACCCTCGGAAGAACCAAGGAATGGGCATATAAAAACCGTGATCGACCTTTAGTTAAACGAACTTCAGTGTTGATCAAGAATGAGATCCAAAATCTTGACAAACTCTACACTGAAACCCTTCTTGGAGACCAAAATTGCAAGCAAATCTGGAGCGCTATGAAAAAAATTTGTGGGACAAAAGTCAGACTACGCGGGCCCCAACCCACAGCAGATGAACTCAACTGCATGTTTTCCACGTCGACTGAAACTGAAGTATCGCATCCTTATTTCCAATCAGTTGACCATCGTGAAATTTAACGTGTCAATTCTAATCAGGTGCGTGCACAGCTAAAGTGCCTAAAAGTATCAAAAGCTTCCGGTCCTGACGGACTGTGTCCAGTCGTCCTCAGGGAATGTGCGCATTATCTGGCGGAGCCACTTGCCGGTATTTTCAACCGCTGCTTCGAGGAACAAAAAATTGTCAACTGCTGGAGACCTGTGCGCATCACACCAGTCCCCAAAAAAGAAGCTGGCAAACTACGACCAATCGCCTGCACTTCTATTTTACTAAAACTTTTCGAAAAGTTTATGCTCAGTAACATTATTCCCAAACTGTGCAGCTGGATGAAAACCAATTCGCTTATCGCAAACAACGTTCTACCTTAGATGCTCTCGCTCATTTGGTAAACTCAGTTTTACGATCCCTAGACATGCACGGCAGGGCTTTCGTATGTGTTTCCTCGACTATAGTAATGCTTTTAACTGTGTTGGCAGGAACAGGCTTTTGTCTCTACTCCAAGGTGCTGGATTAGCCAATACTCTCTCTCTACTCCAAGATTATTTTGCTGGCAGAACACAATTCACAAAGTTTCTTGGAAACACCTCTGACTCCCTACCAGTCAACTCAGAGATGCTCCAAGGAGCAATTCTATCCCCTTTTTTTCTCTTTCTATATTCGTGACCTTCCCACTAACCCAGATGATCTTACTAAGTATGCTGATGATGTCACAATAGGTTCCAAAT